GACAATGGTGATTAAAAAAAATGCCATTATTGGATAAAATATGATGATAGGGATTAACCTCATGCTTGATTGACAATTTTTTTGGACATATTATTGATTAAGTATTGCGTTCTAACTTTTTAATGCAGTTTTTAAATACGTCACTTATTTCTGGCTATATTAAAAAGATTTTGTTTTACGTGACACTACAACAATTACTACAACAATCACAACAACAATTATTATTAAAATCAGTTTTATCCTATTTGTTTCTTGAATTTAAAAATAAAAGGATATTTTATAAAATAGCTCGAAATTAATAAAAATTGAAATGAAACATTAAAATGATTATTTATTCATGGTTATTTTTTGGAAATTTCCATTCTTTGACAACATGGAGAAGAAATGATAGGAAACATATCATTATGTAATTACCAATTAAAAATGATAATTATATTAGTGATAAACTAAACTAAATTGAATGATAATATGATAAATTAAATCAAATGACAGCATTTATTTATCTTTATCCATAATTCAGTAATAATTATCTTACGTATACACATTATCATCATTACTAACTATAAGTAAATTTTTCTTTTTCCCTTATTACACTATCAATATACACTTTTTTTGTCTTTTACAACATCAATAAAAAATTTTTCTAAAATCGACAAAATAATAAAACAATTGGTTAAAAAAAGGATTCTAAAACTGATAAAAAAAAGTGTATTAGTGATTGATAAAAAAAAGGAGTATTAGTGATTGATAAAAAAAAGGAGTATTAGTGATTGATAAAAAAAGGAGTATTAGTGATTGATAAAAAAAGGAGTACTAGTGATTGACACCAAATATACTATCCATCACCATTAAGTGATAAAGAAAGATTGATGGAAAAAGGTTTTAAAAGAAAAACAAAAATTATTTCGATTAAAGTATCATTTCAGCAAAATAGATGTGTTTATGATTAAAGGATTGGCAAATGGTGCAATTTGCGCCAATTGTTGAAAACACAAAAAAAAGAAAAGAAAAAAAACCGAAATTTGCTGAAGAAGTTTGAAATTTGAAAAATTACCAAAATTATATTACAAATGATAAAATGAAATGTTACATTCAATCAGTTGTGATAAAATTCATTAGCAGTGTAAGACATTGTAATAAATTGATTATAACATTTAATTAGCATACAAATACGATGGCAACAAACGAAACAGGAGAAACGATATTGCGAAAAACTTAGATAAACTAGTTTTGCTAATTAATGAGCTAATTAATTATTTAAACTATGGTTTGTTTCATATAACATGGATATGTTTATTTTGAAAAGAAAGAAAAAGTTTGAAAGTTGTAAAGGATGACATGAAGGAGGGAAGAAGGAAGAAGAGGAGTGGAATGGAATGATGAAATTAGTTCAATTTTGTGTCAGTTGTTGAGTGGTTCAGTGGATTTCAAATTTAAACAATAACAAAAATGAAATCATTACTTCTTTTAATTCCACTTTTCCTAATTAATTCAATGAATGGATGTATACATGATGGCAATAATTACAAAGATGGCGAAACATGGGTTTGTTTCATTTTTCATTATTCCTATAATAATAATAATTTATTATTAT